GTCCGCCGTACACGCACGTATGACCTATTGCCGTGTTACAAGCGTCGTGCGGTACAAGCGCTGAATGGCGTAACCCGTCCACGCGGAACAGTAACGACCGATAAAAGTCGTCCGTGTAAAATGTTACGCGATATTTTACAGTCGTATTTTTACAATTCAAACGTACACATATACCTACAAGCGCTTCGGATCTGCTCGTACTTTATTATACCGAAAGACTTTGGACGTGTACACGCAACATATGGTAGCACTCGTTTATTTGATTTCGAAACAACGATAGTAATAAAGTAAAAATATATATATATATATATATATATATATATATATATACATAAAATAAAAAGAAAGGAAGAGCTACGATTTGATTGCAGCACCAATATACACGCGCGTTTTGTGCATACGACGACGCATTTGCCTTGTTTTTTTCCGAATGATACGAATTCGCACGACAATGCCGTGACATAAATATATATATAAGATAAATACGTTCTCGTGTTCCACCTGTGCGTCGTCATATCGCGAACGGATGCCATGAAAAGAGAAAATAAATAAAACGCGCGCAGGAATCCGTCACTTTGAAAACACGATCCAGGTGACAAACGACACCCGTCGTCCTTCCGCCCCCGTCACCGTGCACGTGCGTCCACTTTTAAGGAATTGGCTGAGCAAAAAAGTTAAACATCCCTCAACGGAAACGGCCCAAGTACGTATGATGAAATATCGGGTGGGGGGAAGAGAAAAATAAAATGAGGAAAAACTAAACGAGCGCTTGGTGGGCTTAGGGAAACGAACTATCAACTGGATCCTCTTTTATTTGATATTTAATCTCATGTAAAACGAGTGACTCGTGAAAAACACAGTTTTGATTTTCATTTGCGATTTAAACGGGCTTAAATTATTTTTGAATAATATTTTTCCTAATCACGGCGGAAAAAAAAGAACGATTGCCGAATTCTGACGCGTGTGTATACTATACGTGTTCGGTATGTATAAAACACTAAATTAGTATGAAAACTGCTAAACAGTTTTTTTTTTTACAATTTAGTTTGCCGCTCCAAACATTGTTTACTAATACGTTGAACGAAATACTATACATTAATATGACAAGATAATAATAATGAGATAAGAGTTAAGAGAATATTGACTGCTTCCCCGTGACAGATTTTGTGGAGTAGTCCACGTTTCTGCTCGAATACTGTAAAAATATTGAAGCACTGATACCATCCATGGTTTCGTGTGTGCATTTAATTATTTTTGAGCGGATGATTTTATAGTAAGTAGCCGGTATATTTTCCGATTGGACGTGATGGATTTCAACGTCTTATTTGTTTCCACGCACTGACTGCGCATGTCGAAATTGGTTTTAATCGAGTTTGCATAACTACAACATTTACTCGTTTTTACACGTATACGAGTATATGGCTCAACTCTGATAATCGTTTCGTTTTATTATTATTGTTATTGTTGAATTTATCCACTGCGTATTGTTTGACTGTTTCGCAAATAATCGCATTGATTTGAATGTTTTTGAGGCATTTTACGTAAAACTCGTGAGAGATTGTTCATTTTGTTCCCTGTACCGGTTGAACTGCTGTGGTTCGAGTGTATCTTGAGCGTATCATTTTTCATCGTTATTATGTTTTTGAAGCACATGCGTATCGACTAAAATGATAAACAACCTTCAACGGAAGCAAAAAAAAAAAAAAAAAAATTACCCGATAATAACATTATAATAATTAGTACATCGATGCGCGCGTTATGTATGAACCAACGACGGTTTCAACGGTTTTATGAACGTTTTACAGAACCCGTTTATTACATTAAAACATCCGAGTTTATGTTAATAATGTACTTTACGCATCAAAAGGCAATTTCGTATCATCATAAATTATAAGAATATACCCACGTGGGGTTGGTAGAAGTCGATAGCACATAAATGTGTACATAAAATGAACGTGTGCGATACAGAAATATTTACATTAGAAAAAAAAACACTCAACAATAGAAACATTTTAATTTTTGATCGCTGTGCCGTTCATTCATGATCCGATCTCTTTTCTCTAACGTAAATTAATTGGTTATCGAATTCACGATTATTGGTACACACGTAAAAGAAAAAATACTAGGTAACGTATAATATCTAATATTCGACTTTCAAAAGGTTTCGCGATGATGAAACCAAAATGTTTCAGTCAAATAAAATGTGTGCAAAAACACAACTCCAATATTATCTTTGTAACTATAATGTAATGGCGCAATATATTATATAGGACTGAAGGAGACGCTATTGCAGTTGTTGAATTCTGTCTAATTGGACACTATGCATCCTTGTGACTGCGGGTGCCATATTAATTTTTATAAATTTTCACTTTGATTTTCACAAGACTAAACCTACTGAATATGAACACATTTTATTCATTACTTTACGTTTCCGCGAAAAGCTCTTTACCATCATCTATTCGATGATTTGATATTCGACTCAGGGTTCGAGCCAACGAAAATAAATATAAATGTTTTTTATGAGAGTTTTCATCGTACTATTATGATGTCACCAAAACAAATATCCATAAACGTTATTGTGTTATGTCACGCGTACTGTTTTTATTATATGTGTACGGCAGTCGTTTGAATTTGTTATATTTTGTTGGCATTTTTAATTAGGAATTATATTGCAGCGTAGCACATGTTAAATGAAAATATAATACATATTACATATTAACGAATTCGTTTGGTTATAAAATAAATCTAATACGAATGTACCGTGTCACATAACGGCTGTTGTTTTATCAAAACTTACGATGCGTCTAATATTTTACTATCTAGTCTCATTTTATTCCACATATTTTATTTTATTTTATACTTTAAAAAAAAAATACGAGTAATTGTAATATGCAATTTCAAAAAATCAGAATTTACATGTATTTATAGGTGAGGAAGGAAATGAGAACAGAGAAGGATTACAAAGGTAATTTTAATTTTACATCATGTGGGTCATGTTTGGATTTAAGAGCACAACCGACGAATATATCATGTTGAATCTTTGGTTTATTATTCAGTGGGAATATTCAACGCAATAATTGAAAATATAACACTTAACAACCCTTAAGTGCGATTCCATGGTTACATAATTTTGTGTGTAACCTGAATGCACAAAAAAAAATTAAAAATAAATTCATTTTGGGTACAGCTCATTTGCACCGAATTTATGGGTGTATACAATTTACATGTTAACGACTTGGTTTAATTCATATATTTTAAAGTCGTCTGTCCGTAACGTAAAATAAAGTTGTTTTTATAATTATAAAAACAAAAAATTAACGTGTTACGAATATGCGCAAATATTTGCATTTAATTACAATGAATATTAGTAGAAAAAACCTCTTTATTATTATTTTATTATGATCATTTTGATTGATTGTTTTGAAAAAAAAAGTTCTACTATTGACTATGATTGAAATAAAATTGCATAGTCGATTATTATTCGAGCGGAAAACATAATACTTTATTACCAATACGACCGGATAAATTTTGCGCGAACGGGCTGCCGAAGAGAAACGTACGTGTTTCGTTTGGACTGTACCCAGAAACAGTGAAATTTTTTATATTTTTCGGTGCTGATACCCAACATATTTTCCGTCAAGTTTCCGAAACGATTAAAACAACCGATTAATCAGATACCGGACACCACACGCGCGGTTAGATGCGATTACAAAAACGAAATGCGGTTCAAACTGGTTTTCGCCGAGATTCGCCCCGTGAGTGCATTCGCTCCGTCGCACGCGTACCTGTGAAAGCGATGCGCGCGTCAACACGAAACGGCAAACCGTACAACGACGGCGTTTGTTGGAAATGCGTTCACGCGTTACCGCCGTGTTTCTTCGCAACTCGTTTCCGGCGCCATAACGTTTTCGTACGATTTCTTTCACTCGCACGCTAGAAACGTGTCCGTACAACGGTTGTTGTGTTCGTGAAACCGCGCCAGTGGCGTAGGAAGACTCGCCAGCGCCCCCGGCAAACTTGGAAGAAAACGCTTATTAACCAATTAAAATTTGACATTATGATATCTTTTTAACCTTTGATTTTACTAATTTCTTGAAGTATACAATTTGGATTTTAAGTTATTATTACAGTGTTAATTTTAAATATTTCTTGCTTTATAACTGGAAAATTCATTGATAATTTCTTCATATGAATTTTTTTTTATTTAAATGCCCTTTCGGTGTTTTAATAATTTTATAATTGAATTCATACGTAGTGTACAATGTCTACGTATTTCAAAAATTATAATGGAAACATTTCGATTTGATTGTTAGATAAAAATACGACTTTTGCACAGTTTTGCGATTCTTCGCGATTCGCGCCCCTGGTTTAGGCACTGTTTACCATTCCCTTGCTACGCCACTGACCCGCACAAACGACTGCGATCTTTGGAGTTGGTCGCGGGTCACGGGCTACCTCGCGCGTCCAACATCCCGTTATTTTAGGAACTCCCGAGGATCCCCGAGCCCCCGCAACGTCCTCGCTATACGCCACGTGGAAGCAGCAGCGCGTCAGAACAGCAGCGGGTCCGTCGGACAGCGGTCGCGCGCGCGTTACCGCGGTCCTCGTCACTCGTCCGACGAACCGAACCACGGTATAACGTGCGCGTTGCGATGTTCCGCACAGGGTGCGCGGTGACCGGTTGACGGCTAGTTAAGTGGTGACGATCGACGGACGACTTCATGGTGACATCCACCGCGTAACAATCAATATACGACCGGCTGTAAAAGTGGCGACGCATTCGAACGATCGACAACCGGCAACGGTGAGACCGAGTCGCGTTGCACGATCGCGCCATCGATAGTATCGCGATCCGACCTTCCCGCCGAGACCTCGTAGCGGAAACCTCCACCGCCGTTGTCGTTACGCCTCACGGAAAAACCGTCGCCGCGCGCCGTCACACCCGCCGGTAAGCAACGATGAACAAGCTTTTTACATGCGTTTTTATTCTGTCGTTTAAGGGGGCCATACAAGAGATGAAAATCTACGCGTCGCCGAATTACGCCGACATCCAGTGCACGGGAACGTTGCAGGTAAGTCACGTCTCGTACTAAGTGTTCAACGCAGTCCACGATTGGTTTCGCGACAACTGCTAAACGGTCGGCCCGAGCTCGGAACCGCCATTTCCCCGAGACTCGATCGGGACTACAGACGTTTTAATGGTTTCGAGTTTAAAGCGATGTTCTACGATCTGCATTTGCAACACGCGTCTATGTATATGCGATTACTAACGTTTCAGATGACGTATCCCTGTCAAATAATATGTGCATTGTCGAGGTATGAGGGGACGGACAACCATATTGGGTGTTGTTCTTTGAAAGATACGTGTTATATTGATTTTTTACGTATTCGTAAAATGCACAAATCAATGCTGGTCCAGTGCGTATTATTATTACGAATTAGTACTCATAATTCTTTGAACGTTTGCCATAACTGCCGTATTGATATAAATATCTCCCAATCGACTTTCGTTTTTGTTTAATTCGGGAACGGGAGAGGTCGAATCTATAAAACTCAATTCACGCTTCCTCGAAGATAAATGAAAAACAATTAATATTTTTACCCAGTCAAGTTTCTACGTTTTAGTTAACATTTCTAAAATCAGAGTGAAAACCGAGGGATTGGTAAGTGAAACGTCCACATTTTATGTCGGACCCATCGTCGTCAATTATGTGTCCGACGAAAACCTACTAAATTCGTCGTATAATATACCAATACGTTCACCTCAAAATGTCATCGACTTACAAACATAAAACTGAATGTTGACGTTAAAATAAAAAAGAGTATAATAACAATACTAGTTTGATTTACCCAGACATGGCAAAGATATATTCTACTATTTTTTGATTAAAGTAAGTAATACTTCTAATTCTAACATTTTTACATTAAAATAAGGGTACTATCATCATGTATTTCGTTGGTATTAATTTTTATTAATTTATTCTGTACTAATTTACATATACCCTAATCGGTAATTATTTTAATCAATAAACTAACCAAAATAAAATACTTGTTTGGTAACCAAAAAGTGAACATTTTATACATCCAGGCGAAAATGATTACGGCTCTTAAAAATGCGGTTTTTGACAAATCACACAGTTAGAATATTTTAGGAACCACTACGTATACCAAATTATATGTTCATACGTTTTTCGTTTTAAAGATGTAACAATGAGTGAGTAGATCTGAATTGTATATATGTATAAATCATATTCAGTTGCGTATATTCGTCTTAAACTCCGAAGACGAACGATTGATTTTTAACCACCTGGGTGGTCCTGCCTGTAAACAACTGACTTTCGACCGCGTACACACACTTATAACACAGGTATCTCTTATTGTTTGCAACACGATCGTTATGCATAACGAAGTGAAACGATATTTATATTATCACGCAGGACCTTTGACGTGTTGTAGTCGAACGCGAATGGTCCAGTCCAACATAAAAAAATCACTATTATGGTTTCCTTAGCCCTTACTCTGTTCACCTTTATCAACATCCTTACAACCGATACGATGAAGTTTGTCTAGCGTTGAATGAGCTACACATTATGCGTTAAAATAATTAATCTCATGTTTTACCAAATTGTTAGGTGTCCGAACGGCGACGATTCTTGCCTTATACCATTATTACGAGTTGACATATTTTTCTTTATTCCTCCCTCTTTATACCATCATCTATTATTTGTAAGCATATACTGTGTGCCGGACGCTCGAGTCATAAACGCATTTGACAAGATCTGCCTTAGACGATTTGTGTAGATATTCATAAGTCGTAAAATGGAGGTACCTATGAAATTAATGAAAATAATCTACTCTTTCATAATTTACAAGAATTATTAATAAACATCAGAGAAAATGTTCAGTGTCGATCGGCGGAGGTGATATATTTGTTGACGAATTAACTGCTGCTTGTTTCGAGGATTTAATCAACAATTTCGTTTAAAAGAATAAATGATTAAAATTGCAATAATTATCTCCTACACTTAAAAAAATGTATTGTTTTATTTTTGTCCATGTAAAATGTGTGATTAAATTCAATCCCCGAATAATAAATATTTTCGATTACGTGCTCGCACATTCGAACTGCAGCGTATCCATGACTAATTTACATAAACTTACAAATCCATTAGCTAATCACTTGCAAAACTGCAGTGTTATATTATTTATTTAAATATTATGTCATTATTTTGGCTTTACCACTTCATGTATACCATATAATGAACATTTTGTCGTCTCGATAGAAAAGTAAAAATACCCCAGTTTTTTTACACAGATTTGAAAAATGAGTAATAAAACAACACAACAAGTTTGAGGGTAATTAATAGTCCTTAATGTGTTTATAAAATTATCGTGTTCTGTGGCGGAAATTCTTCATAAAATTATTAACGGCGGCTGTTAATAGCTTTGAGTGTTTTGAAGATCTAAAATATCGTCTCTTAATGATATTTTCCAAGCAATTTATTATTCATAATACTTAAATTAGATTAAAATTTAGTTAAGTGTATTAAAACACATCCTTTTAGGTACTATATTATGTTGATTCTTTAAAAATATATTAATTAAAATTATGTCATTCTCAACGAATTGTTAAAATAAAATACAAGTTTTTGAAATATTGATTCTATGAATATTTTCTTGTAAATTTCAAAATAATACATTTTCTAAAACCGAACCAATACAAGATGTTCGGATCAATATACCAGAATATTTATCATACGAGTACGATTATACTTTTATTTTGTGATTCTCACTCGATCCCAAAAGTAAACAGTCTGTATATTTTATTGCAAGGGTCAGAGTGAACGGAAAACGTAAAGCCACTGCTAAAAATCTATGGTAGTGCATTTTATAAGGAATTTTCACTGAGCGACAAAAAAATGTTTTTCTCAAAATAATCAATATATAATACTATAGTACGATTATAGTATTACACGTTTGTTTCGCCTTATTTCGGTCAATCTTTTAAAATACTGTCGACAGATTATAATCTCTGGGCGACATTTGTGTCGCCTAGTTAACTAGTTAAAAAATGCACTAATCCATGGTGATCAGTGATCACCAATCCAAAACTCCGCATTGCACTCGGGGTTTAAGGTTTAATTTCGACGAGTTAGGTACTTTTAATAAATAGTTCCAGCGCGCCCCGTCGACTAAATATTTGTCTGGATTGCGCGTGGCGTAATAATTATGTTACGCACTTGTCGGCTTACAATATTATGTTAACATAGCCGAATAATAGATTCGATACATAATATTCCAACAGTTAGATATTATTATATAAATCCAGGTATTTCGTATGGTATTTGATTTTCCGAGTACAGACCACAATCCAATGACTATAGCTGGAACAATTTCACGTAATCTGATTTTTTCAGAAATTCGTATTTGTATTTGAAAAATAGCGATTTCTGACAATTCCAATAAATTTTTGAACGATGATAACATCATCGAATGAATTATTAAAGAGGTCACCTTGACTAAGGAATTACGACTTGTTTGAAGTACAATTAGAAAATTTCTAATATTTAATATTTGGTATCATTAAAATCGAATTTTTTAGGGTTCTCAAGAATAGCGCAAATACCGAATCACTAATGTATTTTTCTAAACAAAAACGGTTTTTTTTTCGTTTGTATCAGATTTTTCACTTCCCTCGCGTAAACATCAAGTGGCGACCATTGGTCGATTAAAATTAGTGATGGGAATAATCGAATGATTTCAATAATCGAATGATCAGTAAGTAATTGAAATAAAAATAATCTAGTAGTCGTATGATTCACGATTTAACTGCTTGAATTGGTTGTATAAATAATTAAATTATTATCTATAAGCGTTAAAGTGAAAAGCATTTTCAATTCAAATATTTAGTGATTAGTGATAACGGGAATTAAATCAATTATTAAAAATAAAATAAATAATAATACAATACTGATGGACAGTCAACTTCTTAATTCAATGATTCTTGGCAATTATGTATTTTTTTTTTAACCATTATTTTGATTATTAAAATCATTTGATTATTTTTATAATCGAATTATTCGATTATTCCATTCGATTATTCCCATGACGATATTCTGATGTCTTACAACCGTATCGAAACCTATTAGGTGACATATGCATTACAGTCTGCTCATCAAATTAGTCCGATCGCATTCTCATCCAAATAAATCTTATTGGTACTATCTGAATAGTGAACATACACGAATGCGATTACACGCCCTGGCATTGAACCGTTTGTTCGTACGGTTCGAGTACATTTCATGTGAAACATTCGCTTTATTTACTATTGTTATTACCATTTACAATACACTCGCCTGACCAGGGGTGGACTGGGTTAATATTTCAGACAGGGAATTTTTTTCGCCAAGCCAAAAATTAACAGGAGACCAACGATTTGGTCATAAGTATACAAAAAAAAAAAATTATAGTTATAAAAATATTTTCAAAATTTTATGTAGATATAATAATATAATAAAAATAATTTTCCACCAATCTCTAGAATTTTATTCTCGCAAAACACAATTTGATCGAAAAATTACATGCATAATAAGAGTATATACATATATTTCCTTTGCTTTTCATGCGTTTGTCGCACGACCTGTAACGGATAATTGCATCGAAAGTTATAAGCCTCGCATAATGTCGTGTGAAATTATTCATAGTATATGTTAACCGTGTCAAACTTAGCCGTAAATTTATTGTACACATCCAAGTAATATTCCTTTCATTCTAATTGCGCGTCCTCGAGTAATTTATTCTTGAAAATTATTAACGTGTAGAAGTCTCATTAAAAGTCCAAATAATAAGCGAGATATAACGAACGGAATGCGGACCCCCGTACGGGCTTCGACAACTATAGATTTTCAATTATGATGTTTTTTTTTGCTCTTCAATATTCGACTCCTCCCCCACCCCTCACCCACCGATAAAGACTATTAAACGTCCAATTAAACGTGCATAAATGACTTATTTCCGGTCATGTTTCAGTGGTTTTGCGTTATTTATGTCAAACTACACTCGGAATCCATAA